ATTATTATTATTATTATTATTATGGTGGCCTAGAAATGTAAACTATGAATAGAACAATGTATACTGAATGAGACATTCTATCAGTTGTTTATTACATCTTTACAATGTCTACTTAACAAAAAATATCACAGGATAGATTACAAAAAGCTTGAAAATAAAATACATTTCTATTAAAACACAGTACATTCATTCCTCCACATTTGTGGTTTTAAATTTTGCGATTTGTTTACAAATTTAATTAAAATGTTATCTCTAGGAATCTCTAAATCCTCAATTCTGATTCCATAGTCAACTTCCTCCAGTCCTGGAGAACTTAGAGAACCTATAGAAAATCTCTATGTTTCTTTAGGTCCTTCAGTGTGATTCACTGGTCCACTTTCATTGGACATTGACCAATGGAAGTAATACCAGAAAGCCTAGAAATTCCTAGAGAAGTTTTTAAAAAGTAGCAATGCCTTTAATTGTGATCTTTAACTTTCGTGGGGTCCCTATGAACCTAACTCTGGTAAAAGTGGGAGTTGCAAGCCACCAAGAGCTGGAGAGCTGCATGATACCCATCTCCAAATGAAAGGGATAATCCTGTCACTCCTTTTCTCTATATACTTAAGTGACATGTTTGGCATCCTGTGTAGTTTAGCCCTCAGAAATACAACCCAAATCAACATGTTTAGGACCGCATAGTGATGCTCAGCAGATTCTCTTTTGCCAAGACAAATAAACTTGTCAAAAGGTGACAGTGAGCAGAAATTGGCTTTATCCTGTAAGAGCCTCTGGCAATTACTTACTTTTTAAAAATGAGGTTCCAGAGCAAAATGCTGGAGCTTCAAAGTTTTACTCGCAGAAGGTTCGGAGTTCATTCCACCTGTATTGTAGTTGTTGTTATGTGCCTTCAAGTCATTTCTAACTTATGGAGACTCTAAGATGAGCCAATTATCAGGTTTTCAGGGAGTGCATGACTGGCCTAAGGTCAACCAATGTGTATCCATGGCTGAGCAGGGAACTGAACCATGGTCTCCTGTGTAGTAGTTGAGTTTTCAAACCACTATATATTTGGGATACAGCTCCAAGAGACTCCAAACCAGCATGGGACACAAATTATGGGAGTTCTCACCTCAAAAAGTAATATTTCCTAGATTGCCTTGCCAGTTTAATGAGATCTTAGCTGTTCAAGGATCTCAATAATACATTTCCTTGTGAGATTTCCACTGTTGCCTTTTGTCTTCCATAAAATAAGGGCTGGGGGCTTATGCATCCACTTTTACTACAGTGTAATTACAAACTACAGTAGATTGCAAAAATCACAATGTTTCAGTATTGTCCAAGCTGGCCAATGCTGAAACATTTGGAATGATAGACAAGACAGAAGCTATGGGGCACCAAAAGCAGAGCATGGTGTCTAGGAGATTATGGGAGTTACAGTTCTCTATCCTTTCCCAAGGTCTTCTCCAGTGCCCTAAACAGAAAGAAGTCCAGGCTGTTGGTGGATGAATGTCTGCCAGCTTGGCAGGGGCAGACTGTCTGTTAAGTCTAAAATGTAAGTGGACTGCCAAGTTCCTTAGTTTTGCAGTGTAAAGTATTTCTAAATCCCAAAGGTATAGAAAACTGAAATTAGAGTGCACTCTATTATCCAACATGTGTTTGACTAGAATGATGTGACAAAAAAGGAGAACGGAAGGGTGTGCCATGCATTATTGTGTGAATTGTCTCTATAGGGGGTGTATGAATGAGCTTACTGGGTGAATACATTATTTCTGCACCTATATAGGTTTACTAGGAGCTGGTAGACCAGGGTTCAAATCCCCAGTTTGAATCCCCACTCAGCCATAGGAAACCACTGAGTAACCTCAAGCAAGTCGCATTCTTCAAGTCTCAAAAGAAGGCCGTAGCAAACCCCTTCTGAACAAATCTTGCCAAGAAAACTCAATGATATGTTCAACCCAGGACTGCCATAAATTAGGACTTTTTTATTGTGTCAGAAGCAACTTGGGAATATATTGCAAGTCGCTACTGGTGCGAGAGAATTGGCTGTCTGCAAGAATGTTGTCCAGGGGATGCCCAGATGTGTTACCATTCTGTGGGAGCCTTCGGTCATGTCCCCACATGGGAAGCTGTGGCTGACAGATGGGAGCTCACCCTGTCTCACAAATTCCAACTAACTTTCAGGTTTTCAGGTCAGCAGTTCAGCCAGCACAAGGGTTTAACCCACTGTGTCACTGCAACTTCTAAATTATGAATGATTTGAAGGCACACAACACCAGCATCATTTTAATGTACTTAATATTTTTTACAGAATCATATAATAACTTTCTACTAAAAAAAAACTACTTTCTAAGGAAAGGAATATCCAAGGGAAACTCTTTATTATTTTATCCTTCAATACAATGACTTAAGACCAGAACATAAAAGCACAGGAAGAGGCATGTTGGTCAAATACAAAGGTGTATTTTGTCTCTTCACACAGTGGCCCATCAACTGCCTTTGGCAATTGGGAATCGAAGGCTAAAGTGCTTCCTGTTTGATCTTCAGTTACATCAACTGCAAAAGGAATGATGAGAGGAAAAGAGGAAGGACTCAAAATAGCAAGAACAGCTCAGCAACAATCTCCCTTCCTATCCATGAGATGAGGTTTCTTTAAAGGTTGGGGATGGAATCTCCACAGTGGGTCTCCTGCACCTCTCTCAGGAGGGGATGTTAGCCAACGCTTCCCAGAAGGCAGGGCAAAAGAGCTCCCCAAAAAGCCATGATATGATTTCAAAGGGCCTGTTTTGCTACATGACTCTAAATCAAGAATGGGAATCATGCAGCCCTTCAAATGCTGCTGAACCGGTTAGAGTTGCTGAAAGTTGCAGTCCAAAAATATCTAGAGACCCTCATAGTTTCTATCCTGGGAAACATCCTATGAAATAATCAAACAGTCTTGAAACATGGAAAATTTACTTTTTCTGAAGAGAGTGGTCATGCTGGCTCATGTGCTGTCAGTTAGAATTCAAAGAAATGCTGTAGTTTCTAAGCTCTGGACAGGACCAGAGGCCATGGACCACTGAGCAAAGATCTGGGGAACCCACTCAGCTGGATGCACTTTCCATTTGTCATCAAAGGGAATTGGATTCCTCTTAAAAATAAAGTGATTCATCTTCCAAATAAAGCAACTGGCAGCAACCCAGCATGGCGACCGCTTCCAAGTTATCCTCTATACTATAGCAATGACACCATGCCCCAACTGCAATGCAGAGAGACACTTTATAAGCACAGGTTTGTGCATGCACAAAGGTACAAAATCCACAAAATGGAAGTGCACTGGATCATCTCTGGAACAGCAGGAAACTCTGAGAGTAATTGCAATCTGAAGTATGAGTGTTAACCCATGCATAAGTGTTGTGGGGCTGTGTGTCTGAACATGGAGTACAGTGTTCATAGAGTACATCCAGCTGGACAATCCTGGTAAAAACCAGCATTTAGGCCAATGGTTCCAATTTTTATTTGACCAGAGACCACTTGACCAGGGACCATTCTCCAGTTTTAGTACCAAAAGGGTTATGAATCAGTTTTTGGTCAACTTTAGATTCATTTTGGTTATTTGGGGTGCTGATTCAGAAAATTGCATTGGATAGACCACATCAGATCTAGTTTCTGATACAAAACATATGCCATCCAGTAGTCGCCATCTGCTCACCCACAGTAAACCATATTTAATAAGCCTTGGCACCATAAGAGGTTTTTTCAAGACCAGTCAATCTCATTGCAATGGCATAGTCACGGTGAGGCCACAGCCCATATTTTAGTTCTTGCGGACCACTGGTGGTCCACGGACCACAGGTTGGGAACCACTGGTTTAGGCAGATACTGTTGCACTGCAATGCCCAGCTAAACTGACTGGGATCTTGGGATTTACAGTTTAACAAGATCTGTAGGATCTGTACCCTGAATCCACAAGATTCTATCCGATCTTGCAAACTAAGCAGAGTCTAATTAGAAGTGGGACAGGGGATCACCAGGGAATACCAGGTGCTCTATGTTATATTTTGGAAAAAAGCAAAGGTAACCTTTCTCTGAGCATTCCTTTCTTAAGAAATTCCCATGAAATTCATGGAGTCACCATAGGTTATTTGAAGGTGTGTTAGCATACACTATCTGGTAGGCTTCCTAATTCCCACCCTTAAGCAGCTGAGAGGGAAAAGGAAAGGGCTGAGGCTGTTAGGAATTATGGGAGTAGAAGTACAAAACACATGGAGAGTTCAAGTTTGCCCATGCCTAATTTAGGAGGCTACAAGCTGCCCAGGTCTGTTCTCTCACTTTACCTGCCAGTAAAGAAAACTCATCATCATTGCATGTGGCCCATGTAGGTGGGGAAATTGTGTAATTGTGCTGTTATTTTAATGTTATTTTAACAAAGATGACTATGTCTTGCTCTCACCTATTAACTAATTCCCCCTTACTTTCCCCCCAAGCCAATATCTGCTGGCTCAACCCTCCAAAGCTTGGGTGTTTATTACATGGTGGAAATTACCATGCAACCAAATGCCCTCCAGCCTTGAAGGCCGTGCCAAGTGCCAACCTCAGTGCGGATCTTGTTCTAACAACTTTTGAGATTTCCTTGGCGCTTTCCCCTCCACAGATAGAAAGAGAGTGAGATCAAAGGCATGAAAATATAGATAGATGGATAGATCAAAGATAGGCTTCAGAACCACTGAGGTGGCAGAATGGAGAGAACACAAATTAATCTTGTCTCCGAAAATGTCTGAGAGAGAGAAGATGCGGAGCCAAGGAACGCACCCACACAACTTCTGCTCCCTCTCCCTCTCTCTCCCTTTGTCCTGAAGGAACAGAATTTCCCAGGTTCTCCCACTTTGAAATCAGGAGGGGAGTGTTTGCTGCCTTCACACTGTGTTTGTTATTGAAGGGAGGGATTGTATTTTATTTTTTCCCCCAAAGTAGTGAGTACTGAAATATGCCTCAATTTCTCCCTCCCTCCCCTCTCTCTTTCTCTCTTTGATTCACAGCCAAGAGAGGAGTTCTTGCAAGTCTTGTCTCCACCCCTTTTCTCTCTCTCACTCTCTCTTCTCCTTTAAAAGAAGGAACCACTGAAATGCTAGCACCTTATTCTCTGGCAGGCTAGAAAGCAACACCCAAGCGAGCTCTCTCCCTGGTGCTGCCTTGGCTTGGAATCCACTGAGCTTTCTTTCTCTTTCTTTACTACCAGAGAGGAGAAGAACAGCACCAGCAATCGTAAGCCAAGTTTGGAGACTCAGCTGGACTTGGCTCACCTGTGCGCAAAGAGAGCAACTGGGAAAAGAAGCCAAGGAAAGAGCAAACAAGCCCCTCAAACCAAAGACTGCATTGCAAGAAGTCTTTAACAAGGAACCCAGGAAGATATCCACTCTTCCCTTAGCCTTTTTAATATCCTGAAGTTGAATACTTACTTAGAAGGAATACTGCAAGCCATTTCGCTTCTGCAAACAGACGCTCCTGTCCTGAAAGGAGGAAGAACTTTAATCCACTGTGTTTTTCCCCCCTTTGGTTGTTACTTATGCTTTTTCTTCTCAATAGAGAGGGCAAAGCAGTAACAGCAATCCTTTTTCCCCCTCTTTAGAAGAAGTTTTACCTAAGGGGACACTTTTTTTGGGTTTTGAGCAAAAGTTTTGAGAGGAGACATGAAGGAGGACAGAGACCCCCTTCTGTAGGACTTCATAGCCCCAGGGTGGAAAAATTATTTCTTTTTTTCTTCTCTTTTTTCATAAATTTTAAAACAAAAAATAAGACTCTCCTTCAATGTGTCTGGAACTTCTGGGGATTGGAGTCGGCATGCATTTCGGAGTGCTTTTCCTATCTTTCTGGTACCTGCCACTCATCAGCAGTGAGGTGAGTAGATAGATACATAAATGCATGGGCTTTTCTTAATCATGGGAGAAAGGGGGAAACCCATGGGGACAAGAGGAGACCTGGGAGGAAACCTTGAGTGAGAATATTTGATGAGTGTACGCTGGTAACAATGTATGGGGAAGAGTCAAACATTGAAGCACTGTTATTTTCCTTTAAATCAGCATGTCTCAACCGGGGGTCATGAAGGGGGTATCATAGGGGTTGCCAAAGACCATCAGAAAACACAGAATCTTTCTCTCATGCTCGTGGACACACACACACTTACATTCATTAAAATCTACATAATAATAACCCTATATTATAACATAGGTAGTGGAGAAATGCATTGCTCTTATGCCAGTGGAACAACCGCTATACCCTCTCGTCCAGCGTTTCTCAACCTGGGGGTCGGGACCCCAGGGGAAGTTGCAAGGGGGTGTCAGTGGGGTCACCAAAAACTTTCTGTTGGTCACTGGCTTTCTGTGGGGGAAGTTTGGCCCAATTCTATTGTTGGTGTGGTTCAGAATGCTCTTTGATTGTAGATGAACTATAAATCCCAGCAACTGCAACTTCCAAATGTCAAGGTCTATTTTCCCCAAATGCCACCAGGGTTCACATTTGGGCATATTGAGTATCCATGCCAAGTTTTGTCCAGATCTATCATTGTTTGAGACCACAGTGCTCTCTGGATGTAGGTGATCTATAACTCCAAAACTCAAGGTCAATGCCCACCAAACCCTTCAAGTATTTTCTGCTGGTCATAGGAATTCTGTGTGTCATCATTGGTGGGGTTCAGAATGCTCTTTGATTGTAGGTGAACTACAAATCCCAGCAATTACAACCCCAAATGTCAAGATCTATTTTCCCCAAACTCCACCAGTGTTCACATTTGGGCATATTGAGTATCTATGCCAAGTTTGGTCCAGATCCATTATTTGAGTCCATGGTGTTCTCTGGATGGAGGTGAACTACAACTCCAAAACTCAAGCTCGATGCCCACCAAACCCTTCCAGTATTTCTGGGGAGTTCTGTGAGCCAAGTTTGGTTCAACTCCATCGTTGGTGGAGTTCAGAATACTCATTGATTATAGGTGAACTATAAATCCCAGCAACGACAACTCCCAAATGACAAAATCAATCTCCCCCAAACCCACCAGTATTCAAATTTGGGCGTATTGGGTATTTGTGTCAAAGTGGGTACTGTGAATGAAAATACATCCTGCATATCGGATATTATGATTCATAACAGTAGCAAAATTACAGTTATGAAGTAGCAATGAAAATAATGTTATGGTTGTGGGGTCATGAGAACATGAGAAACTGTGTTAAGGGGTTGCGGCATTAGGAAGGTTTGGAAGCACTGCTTTAAATGATACAGCTGACCCATGGGGAAACTGGACCTTCTGGGAGCATCTCAGAGTGCATCTACACCAGGCATGGGCCAACTTGGGCCCTCCAGGGGTTTTGGACTTCAACTCCCACCATTCCTAACAGCCTCAGGTCCCTTCCTTTTCCCCCTCAGCCGCTTAATGCCTGCTCTACACTGTCTTAGAAGGCAGGCAGCCCAGGTACCTGCTGTTGCAAGGAAGGCAGGCAAAGAGAGAGGGAGCCTTTCTGGAGGTGCGTCTCTCTGTCTGGCCTGCCTCCTTCTCTCCCTTTCTCCCACGATGGGAGGTCAGCCTGGAGGGAAGGAAGGGGATCTGGCCAAGTTGTGGCTGGCAGCTGAAACTCAGCCAGGGGTGGCTAGTCGCCGGCGGAGTTTCCCAGCTGTTCCAAGTCGGCGCTGCTGCCGGAGGGATCCTGTATCAGTTGCAAGCAAAAGGCCCCCCGGGGATAAGAGAGGGAATGCAAGAAAGGGGGAAAGAGGAGGAGGAAAGAGCTCTTAAAGGGCCAGGGAGGACTTTTTCCTGTGCCAATCCTCTCAACACCGTAGAAATAAGGCAGTTTGACACCACTTTGTAACTGTCATGCTTAAATGCTATGGAAATCCTGGGAATTATAGTGTGTTGAGACACCAACACTCTTGGGCAAGACAAAACAAAACAAAACAAAGGCTTGTAAAATTCCAATTTCCAGGATTCCATAGTATTTAGTTTTTGTTTTAGGAGCGACTTGAGAAACTGCAAGTCACTTCTGGTGTGAGAGAATTGGCCATCTGCAATTGGCCCAGGGGATGCCCGGATGTTTTATCATCCTTATGGGAGGCTTTTCTCATGTCCCTGCATAGGGAGCTGGAGCTGACAGAGGGAGCTCATCCGCATTCTCTCCAGATTCAAATCTCTGACCTGTCGGTCTTCGGTCTTAACCCACTGCGCCACTGAGGGCTCCTATAGCATTTAGTCAGGGCATCAAACTGCATTAACTTTATAGGAATTAAAGGCATTGAATGTTTACCTATCTGTGTATGTTGTAATCCGCACTGAGACCCCTCAGGGAGATAGTTAAAGGTAAAGGTTTCCCTTGAAGTTAAGTCTAGTCTCCCCTGAGATTAAGTCTAATTGTGTCCAACTCTGGGGAGTGGTGCTCATCTCCATTTCTAAGCCAGCTTTGTCCATAGACACCTCCAAGGTCTTGTGGCCAGCATGACTGCAGCATGGAGCACCATTACCTTCCCACCAAAGCAGAACCTATGGATCTACTCAGACTTGCATGTTTTCAAACTGCCAGTTTGTCAGAAGCTGATTTGAACCGCTGAGCTTTTGGTTACCAAGTTCTGCAGCTCAGCACTTTAACCTGCTGTGCCACTGCGGACTCCGGCGGCAGGGAGATAGAGTGGAATATAAATAAAGATTATTATTATTATTATTATTATTATTATTATTATTATTATTATTGTGTCGATGACGTGTCAAACTCATGGTCCGCTGGCCAACTGTGGTCCTCCGGATGCTGGGCTATAACTCCTATGCTCCTCACCTTCATGATTATAGCTGATGGACAGCTGCAGTTTGTTCTGTTTAGTCAAGAGAGTGGAGTATGGGTTTAGATACAAGGCTTGTGGATATCATGTCTGACTTTAAAATGTCTTTTCGCCTTTTCCCAACCTCAGAGCCACAAGTGCTGTTGGGTGGCCATTCCCATTAACACCAAACTGTATGGTGGAAGTGATAAAAAGAAAGGGGACCTGAGGCTGTTAGGAATGGTGGGAGTTGAAGTCCAAAACTCCTGAAGGGCCCAAGTTGGCCTATACCTGTTCTACACTGTTTTAGAAGGAAGGCAGCCTTAATAATAAACTTTATTTATATTCTGCCCTCTCTCCCCAAGGGAGCTCAGGGTAGAATCCAAGGAAATATGGCAAATATTCCAGAGGAGGGCGACTCAAATGATCAAGGGTCTGGAGAACAAGTCCGATGAGGAGCGGCTTAAAGAGCTGGGCATGTTTAGCCTGCAGCAGAGAAGGCTGAGATGAGACATGATAGCCATGTATATGTGAGAGGGAAGAGGGAGCAAGCTTGTTTTCTGCTGCCCTGGAGACTAGGATGCTAAACTATGGCTTCAAACTATAGGAAAGGAGATTCCACCTGAACATAAGGAAGAACTTCCTGACTGTGAGAGCCATTCAGCTGTGGAACTCTCTGACCTGGAGTGTGTTGAAAGTTCCTTCTTTAGAGGCCATCAGTCAGGGGTGCTTTGAATGCAATTTTCTTGCTTTTTGGCAGGGGGTCGGACTGGATGGCTAGTGATTCTGTGATTCAATTAATAAATAAGAAACCTAAAACAAATAACCATGTCCCCCCCACCCCAAAAAAAAATCAATATCCACAGCCAAATTATACCCCCCAAAATTAAATAATGTCATGACCTGTCACTTAATCTATATCTAACATAGCCGACATTAAACATAAATGATATAAACAACACTTAACATTCATTTAAAATAATTATTAAAATATTAAATGATGGGAGTTATTGTTCAGTAACCAGTGTGGACCCAAATTGGCTAAAAAGCATCAGCTACTATGTTCCAAAAAATTAAAGTGTGCCTTCTGACTGCGGGATTCAACGGGCCCGATATGGCCCTCAGTATAGATTCACTCCCAGTCATGGAACAGCAGGTTGTCTGGAAAGGGACAGCTGCTAAGGAGGGGCAGGCGGAATCGATCTCCGCATGTTTGCATATGTGTATATTTTTCTCCTTCTTGCCTTCTGAGTTGATGAAGCAGGAGAGCCAAGAACCAAAGCTAAGAAGAGGAGGGCCCTGCAATAACTATTTATAGAGGATGCAGGGCATGGCACAGACCCACGCAAGTAAACAAACTCCATGCCATTACACACCACCTTTTTCCAACAAACTAACAAAAAGGTGAGAGGGCAGAGGTCAAGAAAAGGTGTTCACAACATCAGGCATCCATTGATATAGGCTGGGGAAGACTGAAACCATTTGTGAAGCAAACACCAGCACCTCCAAGCATGTGCAGAGGGCTCTCCCCTAGCTTGCACAGTGTATAGAAATGAATAAAGCACACAGTCCCTCTAGAGGAGAAGGAGGAGAAAGTCTGGAAGCCAAGGCTTGGGAGGTGGCCAAGGCTGAGGTTGTTGTGCCCACAAACCTGAGCAAAGGATTACAGTAGGCTTTTGTTCTGCTGTGTGTGTGTGTTGTGTAGAGTCTGGGCAGGGATGCGGGAGTGGGGCAATGATGTCACACATTGATGCTGCTTCTTTAGCCTCAGGGTACATCTACACTGTAGATTTAATGCAGCTTGACACCACTTTAACAGCCTGGTTCAATGCTATGGAATTGTAGAAGCTGTAGTGTCATGGGGTCTTTTGCCTTCTAATCTTCCAAAGAGATTCCATAGCACTTATTTAAAGTGGTGGTTAAAGTGGCGTCAAACTGCATTAATTCTACAGTAAAGATTCACTCAAAGTCAAGGACTGGCAATTCTCCTCACTTGTGTCAGTAAAGTACAATAATAAGAAATAATCTTGGATAACTCTTTGCTGCCCTTTCATGACTCCAAGATTCTGCTGCCTGAGGTGGCTGCCTCACTTTGCGTAATA